AAAAAAAAAGACAACAACCAAAAAAAACTGTTACCAGTCCAACTGAATACTGAGACCCATGCAAAAATCTTTTAATGGTTTGTGTTAGCAATTGCAAAGATGTAGAATCAACCCAAGCGCCCAACAACTCACAAATGGATTAAGAACATGTAGCACATCTATACCATGGAATACTACCAACCACAAAAAAGGATGACTTAATGCCTTTTGCAACAAATTAGATGGAACTGAAGTCCATTAACCTAAGTGAAAGAATAGGGAAAAAAACCCCACACATATTCACTATTTAATTGGAAGTGCGGTGCACAGAGGAAGTAAAACTCAATGGTTATCAAGCAAGAGAGAAGGGCAGGAGGGGATGGGTGAAAAGTCTACCCAATGGGTACAAATGAACACTATGTGGGTGACAAGCACACTTATAACCATTATTAGTGACCTATGGGCTTGGCACCTGTGGCTCAAACGGCTAAGGAGCCAGCCACATACACCTAAGCTGGTACGTTCAAATCCAGCCCAGGCCTGCCAAATAACAATGATGGCTGCAACCAAAAAATAGCCGGGCATTGTGGCAGGCACCTGTAGTCCCCGCTACTTGGGAGGCTGAAACAAGAGAATCGCCTAAGCCCAGGAGTTGGAGAGGTTGCTGTGAGCTGTGACACCACAGCACTCTATCAAGGGTGACAAAGTGAGACTCTGTCTCTAAAAAAAATTAAAAAAAAAAAAATAAAGTGACTTATATGTAACCAAAAATATCTGTACCTTTCTAACACTTTGAAATTTTAAAAAGTTAGGCTAATGATTATATAGCCAAGTTTCTCTATTTGACCATAACTAAGCATTTTTTTTTTTTAAGAGACAGAGACAGAGTCTCCCTTTATTGCTCTTGGTAGAGTAACGTGGTGTCACAGCTCACAGCAACATCCAACTCCTGGGCTTAGGCAGTTCTCTTGCCTCAGCCTCCCAGGTAGCTGGGACTACAGGCGCCCACCACAACGCCTGGCTATTTTTTTGTTGCAGTTTGGCCACAGCCGGGTTTGAACCTGCCACCCTCAGTATATGGGCCTGGTGCCCTACTCACTGAGCCCCAACTAAGCATTTTTTAAAAAGGCAATTAATAAAATTATTTTAAAAGGCTATCTCTTTTTAAAAAACACTAACAATTTGTTCATATATGCAAAAAACATAGTGGGCTATGCTTTGCTGTTTTTAACTAAAAAAGGGTATAACCTGTCACCTACATGATAAAAAAATGCATTAAAGCTCTGAATCACACAAACTTTTTGAGTTTTACATTTTGAAGACTCAATGTTCTTACTGTACAAACAACATTTCAGCATTCAGAAGTATTCCAATTCCATAAACAATATAATTTTAATGCAAGAAGTTATAGCTAGTACTAAAGGAAAACAGTTTTCTCATGAAAACTGTAACTTTCCTGCTTTATGATATAATTCTTTAAATCTCCCCTTGTTTTTTCACCTGATGGGAACAAGATCCTACTTTGCTTGACTAAGAATAAATTTCCATAATCCACACAAATTACTCACTAGATATTAAGAATTCAAATACTGAAAAAAAACTCAAATACTAAATGTGAAGGCACATAAAAATACCCACTATGATTTAAGCATTAGAAATATTACATCAAATTAGAACAGAGTTCACCTAATGACTTCCACTAGAATTTACCACACTTACATATATTCTCTTCCACCCACTGTACATACCAATATATTCTTCCCTAATGTTCCCTTTCTCAGTTACAGTCACTATTTATATTAAGATGTTTAAACGTGTTCCATGGCTGAGCTAACAACCTTACTTTCTTACACAGCTTTGTTTCTCTATTTTAAAAGCTATCTTGCTTTTTAATTTTTTGTTTTCTACGAACTTATACAAATTTATCTTCAATATTTCCCAGGTATTGTGATCATGCTAAATAATTCTGGGTCTTGTTTATCTGTAAAAATTATATTAACAGACAATCTTATCACTAGGTTCAGGCTTCAAGTCTTAGCCCATCTTCTGTGGATTATGTGCCAGTTCCAATGTCAGGTTTGTTATGAAAGCCTTTGGCATGCTATTTCCATCTGTCCCATTTATGTGCCACCCAAAGGCTACTCTGGGAGTTGGGGAGGTAGTCTATCCCATGATTTCAGCTTTCAAAGCCTTTGATATGCTGTTTATCAGATCCACACAGGAGCAGCTCAGAGTTGTTTGCATAAAACTTTATGGGATCATTCATCAACTCTCCCTCCTTTCCACAATCTCCCTGACCATACCTGTCTCCCAAGAAGGGGGCGCCCCCTTCTACTGTCTATAAAAGATAGGTCTTTAGTATCGCCAATTATGCAGCACACTGCCAGTGATGGTCTCTCTCTGGGGCCAGTAGAAAGAGGAGAAAGGTGAAAGATCAGTAGGGATTCCTATGATGCTCTTTATTTTTTAGGACCACAGTTACTCTGGTTCAAAAAGGATTCCCCTCCCTTGTAATTTTATATATGTCTGACAGCCATAGCTGCTAAGGGGCTGAAAGAATAGGGGAGAGAGGCTCGGCGCCTATAGCTCAACCGGCTAAGGCACCAGCCACGTACACCTAAGGTGGCGGGTTCGAATCCCCAGCCCGGACCCGCCAAACAACAATGACGGCTGCAAC